TTCCCCCCCCCCCCCCAAATATTATTTCCTTCAAAATTTCCCCCCTGTTCGCTCCCTATTTTCTTTCTCAAGCATGTTCAGAGTTCCATCCGGACTCCATGGAAAGTGATTTGATATTTCTAAACACTCTTCAGGCAACCGAAAGCCAGAATATTGGTGGTGCTGGTGGGTCTGCGATTCAGAAAGCAGAAGATGTGGTCAGTAGCATGTTGGCCAAGGGCTTTGTCCTAGGCAAGGATGCTCTGAATAAGGCCAAGTCTTTTGATGAGAAGCACCAGTTCACCTCCACTGCCACAGCCAAAGTCGCCGCTTTAGACCAGAAGATTGGATTTACAGAGAAGATCGGCTTGGGAGCAACCATAGTGAACGAAAAGGTCAAAGAAGTGGACCAGAAGTTTCAGGTTTCAGAGAAGACCAAGTCTGCCTTTGCAGCTGCTGAGCAGACAGTTAGTAATGCCGGTTCTGCCATTATGAAGAACAGGTACGTTCTCACCGGGGCAACTTGGGTCACTGGAGCCTTTAGTAGGGTTACCAAAGCTGCTGGAGAAGTGGGCCAGAAGACTAAGGAAAAAGTGGATGAAGAAAATGCAAAGGAAGAAGGTTATGCACAGCTAAATACCACTTCTTCTGAACCCCCAAGGGCTTCTTCTTCCACTAGTGATGAACCAAAGAAGTCGTCCTCCGCGGTTGAGGGCTTGATCCTATGAATTTGTGCAAAAATGTGTAAAACCTCCATTTCTCTTATTTAAGGATTATGAGAGGAGGGTTTCTTGGCTTCTTGCCATTTCATCCCATTTGGTGCTTGGACTTTTGAAATGTAATTGTGTCATGTCAGAACTAATAGATGTTTTTTATACATTGAAAAAAAAAAGGTTTTGTAATATTTGATTGGATAAATGCTTATTAATAATGATAATACACCTTATATGAAAAATCATTGATGTTCGTGACCTGCGATCGTCTACGCGATATATTTCTATGTGAATCTGTTACTTTGCCGCTTATAAAAACTTACATGTTCACTAGTTAGATACTTCCTCCGTCTCCATTTATAGTGCTTGTTTCTGTTAAAGACTAGTTCTCTAACCCGTGCGTTGCACGGTCATTAGTTTGGCATAGTAAACGAAAAATATATTTTAAATTTATATTTGAAATAAAGACAACGAACTGAAATTATTTCAAATATAAGCATTAAAAGTATTACATAGAAATATTGAGGAATGCATAGCAAGAACAAAAAAAAGATTACATTAAATGTTCTGAAAGACTTATTTGTACACTACATTTCTTGTGTTATTTGAAGGTTGTAGGTCATCATTACAAATCAAAACCTTCAAACCACGTCTATTAGTCACTCGAGAGACAGCAACGTAAAGTTGGCCGTAAGTGAAAACTGGTTTCTTGAGCAATAATCCCACATGCTTCAACGATTGGCCTTGACTCTTGTTAATTGTCATTGCGTAAGAAGTCATAATAGGGAACTGCTTCCTTTGAAACTTAAATGGAATCCGAGTATTCAAAGGTGTGAGCGTAAGTCGAGGTATGACTACTTCGTGACCTGCATTCTTACCACCCGTGACTTTTCCTTGAATCAAGTGAGTGCCCAATCTTGTAACAATCAACCTAGTTCCATTGCACAGCCCAATAGATTGATCTATATTCCTCAACAGAATGATCGGCGTTCCCACTTTCACTTTAAAAAATATAAGTAAAACTACAAAACAAAAAAGGCGTTTGGGCTAAACGTATTGTCCAAATTCTTATACAATCTAATCAATTAAAAAACTAATAACTTTTCAATCTTACTCCAATTATGTATAATTGGTAAATTAAACACCTTTAAAGAAAATATTGAATTTTATGTTGAAAATCATAATACTTTAAGGTAACATAAACCCAAACATTATCCCAATTCTAAAAAAAATACCCAGCCCAATTTTTAAAAAAATACCCGGCCCAACCCCTTGTTATTTTCCCAAACCCTGGCCGCCCCCTCATCCGCCATTCGATATCTCTCTCCCCCCCCTCTCTCTCTCTCCATTCAATCATTTTTTCGATTTGTTTTCCCATCGCCTTTCACCGATTCGATGAATTTCCAGTCAATGAACGATGGAAAAACGATGGAAAGCTTCGGATTCTCTCGCTGGGTAAGTTTTTAATTAGATTATTTCATCTTCTTCGATTTTTGAATATCTTAATTTCTATCAAAATTAAATATTTATTTTTCTTTAGATGATTTGAAGAATCTGGAGCATGCATGTGTATATATCTGAAATCTGTTTTGATTTAACCATCCTCTTCGATTTTTTAAGATCTAAAAAACAGCCAAAATTAAATATTCATTTGCCTTCAATGGATTTGAATGATCTAGAATATGCATGTCTTTTTATTGAAATTTTGGTCGGATTCCACCATTTTCTTCGATTTTTGAAGATCTAATTTCGAACAAAATTAAATATTTATTTTTCTTTAAAGGAGTTAAGGGATTTAAAAGAAACATCATTTTTTTTTCAAATTCGGGTCGGATTTTACCATTTCATTCGATTTTTGAAGAGCTCTTATTAATCACAAAATTAAATATTTTTCTTTAAAGGAACTTAGGGATTTGGAATATGCAAGAATTTTTTTCTAAAATATGCTTCGGATTCCACCTTCTTTATTTATTAAAATATATATTTAATTTATTAAAATATATATTTCATTTAAAAATTCTAGCTTCTTTATTTATTAAAAAAATATATTCTAATTTTTCAAAGTAACATGTCAATATCAATTTATTTTTTTAATATTATACATTTTCAATTGATTTTTTTACTCATGTAGGATTAAGATTTTTCATGCACGTTATTTATTTGTTGCATGAACAAAAAGCGTAGCAAAAAAAACTGGAATAATTGGATTAGTAAAAGATCAAATACCTCTTCATCATGAAACACATACAGCTCGTACATGAATAGCAATGTTTTTTTGGTCACATTTCGTCCAAAAGGATTCCCATAAATTTTTATTTTTTCTCAAAAACTTTTACACTTTCCCATAAAGCATTTATTTAAGTTACACTTTTCCATAAGCTAACACCTTCCCATAAAAAATTAATTTAAGTTACCCATATCTGATCTGGTCAAACCATACCTGAAACCATATCCAATTAGATGGGCGGGAAAATCATACCGTATATTACGGAATAAAAGATTATTAAAATAGGTTTTTAAATACCCTACAAATAGAGATTTTAGGATTTCAAAAATCAAAACACCAAAATCTAAAAAAACAATATCTGTTGATAAATTTCAAGGTTGATTTATATATATATATACAAATTTTATAATCTTGTAAATCATATCACTCAAAAATTGAAAAAGTAAAAATAAAATTAAATAAAAAAAACCTTGAGTCATCTTCTCCGGGCTAGATGCACTATTTGTGATTTTTTTTCTACCTTTTCTATTCCTACTACTTTTTTCTAACATCTAACCCAAAAAAAATACACTTATCCTACCAAATGAAATTTAAGTCTTTCTCTAGCAAATAATTTAACCACAGTATTTAGATTAAAGATATGTTCATTTGAGTAAGAAAAATTAACTTATAATTTTTCTAAATCCTTCTAATTCATTACAACTTATTTCAATTTTTTCTTATTTGTTTTAGATTTCTTTAATTTTTTCAGTTTCTCCCAAAAATGACTTAATTTTTTTTACATATGATGAATATTCAATAACATCATATATCTAAATTTATAACATAATACCTCAAACACAAACAAAGATGAATTCTTTTTATCCAAAATTAGTTTTCCATATATATTTATTTTTGTGATTATTTAAATGAGTATCTTTTAAACCTTTTTTTACATTCGTTCGAGTTTCATCCAATTCTTTCGAGTTTTTCCAATACCCAATTCTGTTCTTACAACCTAAGCAAACAAAGCCGAAAATATTTTAAAATGCAAGTCTTGGATTGTAAGAGTTTAAACAGAGAATTATGCTAAAGATTAAAGAAGTAAAAAATAAATACGGAGTATGTAGTAGGAGGGTGTGAAGTGGACCGGCCCACCATCTTCTCCCCAAACCCTAACCACCTTCTCGCACAACAATTACGCCTTACTGCCTGCGCCACTCTACCCTCTCCTTTATCTTCTTTTTTCTCCCGATGAGCCGCCCTAATGTTTCCTAGTGAGAGGCTATTATCTCTAGCGGGCTCCATCTTCTTCGATTGCCTTCGTATCTACCACACGGCCATCGATGATTTTTATTTTTGGGGAGGTGTGTTTGCTTTCTTCATCCCTATCTGGTATTTTTACCTCAATTTATGTTAATTTCTATGAGCAGGCATCGTTTTGCCTAATTCATAGCTAACATGCATACATATTAATTGGTTTCTTTATATTTTCTGGTATAGTTCTCTGTATTTTTACAATTTTTTTTACCCTTATTGTTATAAGTTCAATTTTTTACCCTTATTGTTATAAGTTCATTTTGGATCCGATTTTCTTCTTGTTAAATTCTCCAAGCATGCTCCTCATACCTTGGGTTTCTGCCATATTCATCCTGTTGGTATGTGGTGGTTAATGTAGACAAATGGAATTTTGGTATATTTAATCCCAAAAAATTTGAATCTACCATAGCAATAAATGGATTGTGGAACAACAGAAAATCTACTTATCTTATAATATACGAAGCTGACCAGAAGGCATGAAAGAGGCAAGCAGAAAAGGTCATTACCGAGTACTAACAGAACCGGATGTTTGAGGTTTCATTTTTGAAGAGAAGATTACCTGATTTTATAGATGGGCTTTTCTACTGTATTTGAAGAGAAGAGAAGGCTTTATAAATAATTGTTTGTATGGAGTGGGGGAAATAATTATTTTTTTCTTGGGAACACTAAAAAACACGGCTAAGCTTTCCAAAGCAAATAAATGCATTGTCCCAATGTTTTTTTTTTACACGTTTGAATACCAAGAGGCGCCCAAGTCGTCATTCTTTTAATGCATTAAAGGAGATGCTTTAAAAGCATGCAATTTGGTTTCCCAAAGCATTATTTAAAAGCCTGGAAAACCAAAAAGAATAATTGCTTTTTCCCAAAAAATTGGATACCCATTGATATAACCAAAATTAATTGGTCAATTTTTTCTTTTACAAATTTGGATACCCGATTATTAATGTCATACCCGAACATCCAACCCGAACCCAAATGCTTAGGCGGGAAAATGTATTGTTTATTTTTCCCCTTCACCTTTGTATATTAGTAGATGTTTGAGTGAAATTATTTTTAAATTATTTTATATGACTATTACTCATTTTAAATCATTTTATATGATTAAAGCATAATTTAAATTTTCTCAGATAACTATTACTCCATATTCAATAGTACTTTAAATATCCGTGTCTGGATAATAAAGTATTGATGCGTAAATCACTTGCGTTGAAATTTATCTACTATTACAATACGTAAACGACGATTAACAAAACCGACCTTAGCTCAGTTGGTAGAGCGGAGGACTGTAGTTGTTGCATAGCAGTTAATCCTTAGGTCGCTGGTTCGAATCCGGCAGGTCGGAAACTTTTTTTGGTTTAATGATTTTTTTTCATATTTGTACAATTGTACTCAAACCGGACCTTCATTGGAAGTAATAGAACTCTCCCCATTTAGAAAATGATCTTTACATTTAATTTAATTTTTTTCTAAAACACATCCTATTTTGACATAAATGTATTATAAATAGTTTTTTAATAAATTTTAACTACTAAGTTCTTATAAAATAAAAATACATATATGTATAAACATATACAAGTATTTTATTACTCAAAGTGTTAAATTTTAAACTTGTAAGTAGCATATGCTAACCGCATTTTACCATATGCTTAGATTATTTTTTAGAAAACTCAAGATGCATTATAATCGAATCGGAACAAAGGGATAAGGGAATGTCCCACCCAGTACAATTTATCGGCTTGCACATAAGTAGCATATGCTAAAAATTAAGAAATAGAAGTATATTCACGAAGGATATAATGATGAAAACAATTGGTAAAAGATTGTAAACATCTCTTGCAATTAGAAACAACGATGCCAACGCCAGCGTAGGATCTATCCTCAATTGAGTTTTATGTTACATATAGATGAACAATCTTAGAACACCTGAACAAAGAGAATCATGCAATCTTTTAGCCACACAATCGCCTCCTTAGCCGGCAAATTTTTTGCCATTAACGAACTCAAGCAACGAGGTAATAGGCTATTCACATCCCCCATAAAAATCTCAACGGGTGAATAGTCTATAATTTCAAAAACTCTCATACCAATGGTCCAGTGGTCTAGATGTAACTTGCATCAATAGAACAACACGGAAGTATGCTCAGATTAACTTTTATGAGACAAATGAAAAGAATGTCTGAAATAAACATTGGTTCTAAAATTATTATACTATTTATGAGTTAATTTTTGTGTTTGTACTTATTTTAATTATTTGTAAAAAAACATAGTCATTTCACCTCTTATTTTGTAAAGATTAAAACATACTTCATCCGTCCCAAAGTATTCGTTCAGTTCTGACTTTTGGAACTATTAATCTAAGCACTTTAACTCATCAAATTCTCTCAATGTGTAAGTCTAAATATAGTCATGTGTGATCTTGTTTGATTTGTCTTAACATATAGATTATTAATATATAATTTTTATAATTTTTTAATATACAAATTACAAGATAAAATGAACTAAAGAAGTACATTGGATGATGTGTAAAAATGAAAGTGGACAAATATTCTGGGACGGAGCGTATAAGTTTTGAAATGGAAGAACTACATTGATTATTAATTCACTTGCATGCTTTTGTATTCGAACAAAAAAGCAATGAAACGAAAATTAAACTGAATTCCTATACTGAATTCTTTTTGAAGTGATTATCGCATACCCCATATTTAATTACGTATCTAAAATCAACATTAAAAAAATTAGTTGCTCGAACCAAAATTAAGCAACCTAGTTTATCTTTAAATGGCTCTTAGAAAAATAGGTAGAAAATGATGGATCAGTCATATATATATATTGGTGAGGCATAAAAAATTTAGAATTTTATGCCTACGAATATCATAAATTTACAAATAGGATTTTTAATATTTCTCGAGTTTAATCGATATTAATATAAGAATTTGATATCTCCCTCCAATATATATTGACCATCAACGTCGTCACCGCCGGCTACCAATTTATGCTTAGGGAATCCCAATTTTGGCAACTCTTTTCATCTCAGTCTTCTTTTCGAAATTCACAAATATGGAATAATCTCTTATGCGTGTTAATATTTGTATGAGTATGGGGTTGAAAATGGGATGAAATTTAGGGTTCATTTAGCATTTTTCAAATAAATACGTAGTACTTGATCTGTCCCTGAGTGTTTCTCCACTTTTAACTTTTAGAATTGTTCATCTAAATACTTTGACTCATCAAATTCTCTCAATGTGTAAGCTTAAAAATAGTCATGTGTGATTTTGTTTGATTCGTCTTAACATATAGATTATTAATATATAATTTTTATAATTTTTTAATATACAAATTACAAGATAAAATGGATTAAAGAAGTGCATTGGATGGTGTGCAAAAATGAAAGTGGACAAACACTCAGGGACGGAGGGAGTATATGAGAACTTTTTAAAAGAATTAAGCTCATTGTACCTCAAAAAGTATTCTTCACTTTGTATTCTAAAGATATGCACCAATATTTGTGTTAGTGTAATGTTAATATAATGATTTACATTAATACAAAATGTCAGTATACATTTTTTTGTTTGAACTAGCATTTTGTGTCAGTGTAAATTGTTAAAATGTTAGTACATCTTTTGGAGTGCAATTTTAGTGCGTCTTATAGTCCAATCTAATTATTCCTTTGTAATCTTAAATTCAATCATTATATACTTGAGTAATTTACAAACATATGTAACAAAAAAAATATTCATTCCTGGCAGTGTAAGTCAGACACTTTTTTCCCAAATCCGTTTCACTTTATTTAAAAAAAACTTCAAACGGATTAGGCATATTCGTTTCAATTGAAATTAAAGCTAGTTACGGAGTAAAGTAATCCGTTTGCTCTCTTCTTCTTATCTCCTTTCTCTCTTTAGTTTTTATCTCCTTTTTTTATCTCCTTTCTCTCTTTAGTTTTTATCTCCTTTTTTTATTTACTGTTTTTAGTTTTCTTTATGTTTTTTTAGTGATCTTTATGTCTTTTAGTTTTTACTCCTAATACATTGAATTTTTTTACTTTCTTTTTTCACTTTAACTTTTTCAACACATTTATTTTAAATTAAAAAAATATACTCTAAATTATACTCCCTCCACCCCAAAAAGATCTATCCATTTCATTTTTTGCGCATATCATAAAACAATTTTATCTCATCTCAAATGCCAAAAAAAATATAAAACAACTTCTACCTGCAATAAAGGGTAATATGGTAAATTTTAGAAATTTTAGATATGCATAAGAGTGTTTTATGAGATGTGCAAAAAATGAAACGGGTAAATCTTTTTTGGACGGAGAAAGTAATATACTACAAGGTACAATTTACTCTCCCTGTTCAAAAGAGATTTTCCTGTTATACACATTATAATATTTCTAAGTATTTAATCGATTTCTAAGTATAACATTTAATAATTTTATTATAAATAATTTCTAAGTAACAAAAATTAATTGATTTCTTTCAGAAACTAAAAATTATAATATTTCCTCCATCTTTAAATAGATTACAATTTCTTTTATCTCTCTTCTCGATAAGTTTTATTTATTTACGCGATTTCATTGAGTATTTGATTAAATAAAATATTCTTGTCACCTCTTGTTTTATAGAACTTTTAACGTAATTTTTTAATATGTAATTTTTAAGGGATATCGTTGTTCTATGCTACTATGAAGTTCAGCTATGATAAATTGGTCACACTTTTTTCTGAGAGGCGAACAAATGGATATGTTTGACTGCAATCTAGATATAATTTTCCTATGAATGGTGGAAACATATTAGGAAAAATAAAGTAAATAGATATGTTATTAATTTCAGTTATAATATGGACTATCGACCACGGAGACATTACAAAAAGTTTGTTACGTTTAGAAAAAACTGCGTCCCGTAAAGTCCGTTACATTTCTATTAAAAAACCACTTTTACCCCTTACTTTTTCATACCCTACCTATCACATCATATCTTTTTTCTAATAATCTACCTATTACATCCTACTTTTGCCCATCACATCAAGGGTATTTTTGGAAAGTCAATACCAAAATATCCCTCTCTTAATTTCCCAAAAAGTCAAACCGTCCCATTCTTTTTGGGACGGAGGGAGTATATTTTTTCTTCTTCTTTTACTTATATTGTATAAAGTTCACTTGAAGTCAATAAACAGTAGTTTTATTTTTAAATTATATTATACAGTATATTTTAGATTAAAGAAGTGTATTGGAAATTGTGTAAAAATGAAATTGGACTTTTTGAGGATAAATGGAGTATAATTTATTTATAAGTGACAAAAATTACTTGAACAAAAAAATTTTAAGCTAATAAAAATTGGAACAAAAAAGTGAAAGGAAGTAGTGGAATGAATTAGCCAAACAAAAAAATGCAATTGTGGAACCGAGAAGCAAAACAAGTAAGCAACAAAAAAATAAACACTTGAACGGATTAGCCAAATCCGTTTAGCAATTAAATCAGGGAAACGAAGTAGGCTACTCCGTTTCAATAAATAAAAAACGGAAATAAATCTGCATATGAAGGAATGCATTACATTTCTTTTACACAAACAGGGAAATCACCCTATATACTTTGTCTTTTTAAACAAAAAAGGGAATAAAAAGAAAAGTCAAGAGAGTGGAAGACGACGCGGACTGTGCTGTGCAGACCTTAAGAAAACGTCCAGAAACGAAGAACAACATACATACATACAGTACATACGATTAGTCAGCGAGTCAAGTCGCCGTATCTCTCTGGTCATAATCACGGAGAAGCGCCCCGCAAGATTTCCCCGATCTCTTCCGTTCAGCGATTTCTCACGGTAATCCACTTTGCCTCGTCGCCAATTTATGTTCGCTAGTCACTTTATTACATGATTTTTAGTATCTAGAAATTTCTCAGTTGATCCTGTTCCGTTTATTCCATGTTTGTCTGTGTAATTCCTTGATCAATCGCGTTTTCAGTTTATCGTAGCATTCAATTCTCGACTCTGATGCGATTAGCGTGTTGATCCGCCTGAGAATTGATTGTTTATGACTTTGAACGAGTAGCCGGATCTGCGGCGACGAAGTATTATAGACTGAGGATTGTTTGTTCAGGTTTTTGATCTGCGGGAGAGAAGATGAACGACAATTTGATGGAGAAAGTCAACGCTCTGGGGGAGCGATTGAAGATCGGAGGGTCAGAAGTGAGCCAGAAAATCAGTGCTGGAGTGAGCTCAATGAGCTTCAAGATGAAGGAGTTCTTCCAGGGCCCAAACCAGGCCGATAAGCTCGTGGAGGATGCAACTGCCGAGACTCTAGATGAGCCCAGTTGGGCCACGAATCTGGAACTGTGCGACATGATAAATCTGGACAAGGTCAATAGTGTTGAGGTCATACGGGGCATAAAGAAGCGGATCCTGTTGAAAATCCCTAGGATTCAGTACCTGGCTTTGGTGTTGCTTGAAACCATAGCTAAAAACTGTGAGAAGGCGTTTTCCGAGATCGCAGCTGAGAGGGTGCTAGATGAGATGGTGAAGCTGATTGACGATCCTCAGACTGTAGTAAACAATCGGAACAAGGCTCTCACCATGATTGAAGCTTGGGGCGAATCCTCGAGTGAGCTTCGGTATTTGCCTGTTTATGAAGAAACTTATAAGGTACATTCTCAGCTTGGTTGTTTTATTTAGATCATATTAAATATAGATACTAATAATATTTTGTTAATTGCACTACTTCCCCCAAGTATTGGATATGATTATATGAAAGGCTTCGGCTACGTATTCCCAGAGGCTATAATACTTTCTGATCACTTAATGCCTTGGAAGATATTATTAAATTTGATCTAACTAATTCTGTATAAGGTTTCTTTGACTAACCTATGCAGCTACTCCTGATTGTATATGCCAGATGGACAAGATGGGTATATGACAGTTGCGATAACTAAATTTTGGCTTCTGTGTATGAAGTATCATCTCTTGGTCAAGACATTTACATGACTCAGTTTGCTTCTAGTAAAATATTGTTTGAACCACTCTCATTTTCCTCTCACCCTCTTTCTGTTATTATTTCCTCATCTCTTTTGAGTTCAAAATGCCCTTTGAGCATAGGCTGTGCATGATAGCTGAACTAAATCTTTAGCATATATTTACGTCATCTGATTCCTTGGCCAAGATATATTTATTTTTGAGTATAAATAAAGGCCAAGAGATATTTATTTTTGAGTATAAATAAAAAAGAATCACAAAATCAGTTATACAACTCTGAGTTACTATTCTTCTAAATTCTGACATGTGCCTCTTCGCTGTGATATTGTGTTTTCTTCATCCATCTCCTGTTCTCATCATAGAGTTTGAAATCAAGAGGTGTACGCTTCCCTGGTCGTGATAATGAGAGCCTAGCCCCTATATTCACTCCTGCAAGATCTGTTGCCACGTCAGAAACAAATGCCACTCTTGCACAACAATTGCACAATGATATTCCACCACCAGTGGCATTGTCAGCTGAACAAATCAAGGAAGCGCTTGACGTAGCAAGAAATAGTATAGAGCTTCTTACCACTGTTTTGTCCTCTTCACCTCAGCAAGATGTTTTGCAGGTAATTCTGTTGTCCACATCCTCTTTGTTAATATTCAGTTCAAAATGTCAAATACGAAGTATCTATTAAGACCATGGCTTTCTAACCCTACAGTTACGTAAAACAATGCACTTCATTTTGGAATTTGGATGTTGTGGGTCCCACCCACATTCTTCATTGGTAAGGGGAGGGTGGAATGATGGATTTAAATTAGACCTCTTATTGGCCTGTGGGGTCTAGACACTCTACAGGCCGGGGAGTACAGTTTAAGGGTCATTGATACTTCCTTGATCCTACTAAAAATGAAGTTAGATGTCCACAAAAACATACTCCCTCCGTCCAAAATTAAACTTCCCGGTTTGACCGGGCACGCAGATTAAGAAAAAATGTAAATATAGCTGACTTTCCCAAAATGCCCCCATTCCCTACTCTTCCGTATTCCCCCCTCCTCTTCCGATAATAGGCAGGCCACTGGTCTTGGGGAAGCAAGTCCGACGGTGGAAGCAACCGGTGACCGGCGAATTAGCGCGCCAGCAATTGGATAAATGGGCGATGCAACAGGTAGGTAACCAACGACTACGAGGCAGTAGAGACCGGAAACACAAGCAAAGCAACGATAGAATGAATTTTAACGGAAATTAACGGTAGATCCAACTGCCAACTCGCTGCTCCGATAGTCCGATCCACCCACTGGTAGAATTTCAAATAGATCTGGGAAAAGGTCCAGATAGATCTTTAAAAAGGGAGGAAGAAGAAGGAATTTAGAGAGGAGGAAGAAGAAGAAATAAAAAAGGAGGAGGAGGAAGAATGACCAGGACGAAGGAATTTAGAGGAGGAAGAAGACGAAATAAGAAAGGACGAAGAAAAA